CCCGTGGTTTCTATACTGCCCATGACGCCATATGGTATGGAATAGCCCTTGGGGCAGGTTGGATCAGCTGTCCTGGCTGTGCCCTCTCCCAGCTTCTTGTGCCCCTGCAGAGCATGGGAAGCTGAAAAGTCCTTGACCAGCATAAGCAGTACTTAGCAACAACTAAAACATCACCGTGTTATCAACATTATTCTCATCCTAAATCCAAACCACAGCACTGTGCCTGCTACTAGGAAGAAAATTAACTCTATCCCAGCCGAAACCAGGACACAGAGCAATGTGAAAAGCACACCCCCCCACCCCACCCCAGCTTTGCTTGCGGGTACAAAAGCACAAACGTGGCCAGAGCAGAGGGTTTTGCTGAGCCAAAGTCTCGGCTTTTACAACGCCGTTTCCACCATGCAACTGGTGCCCTCTTGGGCTGTGGGGTGGCTTGGTGCAGAAAACCTCGCTGTCAGGAGCATCCCTGGCTCGCATGTTGACTGTGTCTGTGCCGACCACTTGGAAAGCTTTTGGAAATTGCATTCCAAATCAATTCCCAATAACGCCATGGTACAAATTGCACATTGCTTGGGTATTATTAACATTGCATAGGCAGCCTTTGGACCAAGCCACACTTAAAAAAACCCCACCAGATGAATTTGCCAATTTTCTAGTCTTTAGGTAAGTGGCAGAACAAGGGACACAGCAGACATGCAGCAAAACGCTGCTAAGTGCCTGTAGCCTCTGCTAAAAGCTTGGGCTGCCTGTACGGTGAGCCAATGCAATTCACCTCCCCAGAATTTGAGGCTCTCCCTGCTAACCCAGTTTGCCATTGGTATGGGGAATGTTTTAAGCTACCAGAGAGCTGGAGACCAGCTCAGCAGTGAGAAGACAATTAACTCCATCTCCCAAAATACGGGTCAAATGTATAGAGAGGAGTGCTTTTTAATACACATCCCTCCATCACGTGTTGCAAAGGGGTTGTGAGCGGGGCTAGGAAACATGGTACCCAAGCTTACCTGTCTCCTTCCCCACCAGCCTCTGAATATAATGCGGAATTTTGGAAGGCAGGCGACGGGATCTTCTTACCACCAGCCCTCTCACGTCCTTCTGTATTGCCGCAACGACTGTTGTCTTCAAGCCTATGGGAGAGACACGTGAGCTTGGTGAACACGGAGCACGCGAGGAAGATGCCGTGGTGCCCTACGTCCTCACTAGAAGTTCATTTGCAGCCAAGACCAAGACTACCCTGTGCACGATACAACGCGGGAGGAAAATAGAGGCGTAGATGTGACATTTCCAAGGGAGCACCTCACGGCGGGGGGGGATGCCCATCAGATGCAGACTTAGCATCTCCTTTAGGAGCTTCTTTTCTGCCTGTTTTTTCTGAGGGTGGAGGGGAGGCGAGCGGTGCTTACCGGGCAGGCGGCGGAGGTGGTCGTGGGCGATGCCGCAGCACAGCTTGACGGTGGCCCGCAGCATGGCGCAGGAGCGGGGCTGCCTCTGGGAGCGTGCCACATCCTGGCACGCCTTTATAGCCAGCCTGAAGGACGGCACCTGACGATAGCACCGCGCTGCCAGATAGCAGCTGGGAATAAGGAGTACCCAAGGACAAGGCAAGCGAGAGGAGGGGCTGGAGGGAAAGGCCACGCTTCCCTCTGAATGAGCAGTCCCTGCCTTGCCTCGGGCCCTGGGCAGGCAGCTGGGAATGAACACATCCCCAGGGCACAGCTGAGATGGGACACTTTCGTGGTCCCCAGTGGCACTTTATTGAGGACTGTGGTGGCAAACCCAAGCTGGCAAAGGCAACTGGTAGCACTTGCATGGTGGGAAGGATGGGGTGGGAGTTGAGAGCAACGTGGCTTTGCTCTCAGGGAGCGTGGAAGCTGCTGTTACAGCCATCCTTGCTGAAAACAATGTTTCGTCCTATGGAAACCTCACAGAATTTATCGTGGTAATTGCTGCTGTTGTAACTCCTCAAGTAATGCCTTGTTTTCCTCTTTCCTACTTTACTCCCTCCTAATCATCCCCTGCAGACCTCTGCTGCTCACGGAGATGGTGGGACCACTACATCTTTTGGCGTGAAATTATTCAGTCCTTCCCCTTGTGTTTTTAATGGCCCCTCTTCAAAGGTTAAACACAAAACCTACTAGGTCACCCCTTAAAATGCAGCCACACCATGTTCCTCTGGCCTTTTGCAATACCTGCTTTTTCAAGTGCTTCGAAAACCCTGCTTGATTTTTGCCATGGAAAGGCTCTTCCACCCATATGTAGCCAAGGGGTCAGATGCTTCTGTTTCACGCAGCATCACTACGGCTCGCTTTACCTTCAGTCTCTGAGGCTGCAGCTGCTAAAATATTTGGGCAAGGAGGCCAGGAGGACTTTTTTGCTTTAAAAGGGATAGGAGAGACTTCAAGGCTTGCAATCTGGGGCGGTTGCGGCTAGCGGGTTTCTTGCTGGGATGGGAACAGTCCTTCCCCAGCTGCTGTGCAGGCACTGCAGGCAGCTGCCTGCAGACCCCTGTTCCCTGGAAGCTCAGGGGCTGTCACGGCAGTGTTGGGGACAGTCTGGTAAATCTATACAGGATTGCAGGTTGATTTAATGAGTGTATTATTAGGAGTGGAGTAGCAAGAGAGGTGCCTGTGGATGGCTTTTGGGCATGGCAGGATAACTGCAGCAGCAGGTAATTGAATAAGTAGGAAAAGCAATGGTAGGAAACGACTGTTTCACCCAAAGCTGGTGGAGTTAAATATGATTATTTGCTCTTTCCGACTCATGGTGCTGGCTCCCTTTGAGTGAGTGCTCCCAGGAGCAGCCACTGACCGATGGGGTGACCCTTGCAGCC